AGATAGCGCACTTGTGGTCGCTTAAAATTCTAAGAGCGACCTACGCTAAGAAATATCATGTAAGAATAGTAAGTTGCAAGGGTGAGAAAAATACCCTAATTAAGAGCAATAATTTATGACCGCTGCTGCCGATAATGCACCGACAGCAGACCTAAAATTAGAGACTCTGTTAGTATATAAGACCTAGGATTCGTAAGAATAAAATAGTATCTTACAAGTACTCAAGTTGAACATACTCGTTCACATTCATGTTGATTTTCTGGAGCAATCAATCAATCAATCATAAATCCAGACTCGGTCGAGGGCCTGCTTCACGCCTACAAAGATTTCATAGCAGTAGTCTTTGTCGTCGTAAACCTCAAGAATATGGTTGATCACTCTGTGAACCTGTTCAACAGCGCCATGCCCTACCCTGAAACCAAATTGGTGATCAGGAAGGTTGGCCATGTGATATATAAGCCTTGCAAGTCGGGCGACGATCAGTATTTCCTTCGATCGACCGATATCACTCAGGGTCATATTCCGGCTTGCCCGACTTATGGATCATATGGGTCCTCGCTAACTTCTGGACAGGGAAGTGTTGCGTCCTTAATATGGCATTGAAGATCAACGTTATAAAAAGGAGCGCGCGCATTGTCAGGGCTTTCAGGGTGATGTGGCATATTCCATCATGGCCCGGTGCTTTAATCCTGAGGCCGTTTGCTTGCAGGATACGTAGGACATTGTTCACTTGTTGCTGATGCTCCTTAACAGAAACTGACATTATCAGGATATCGTCTATGTAGCAGAACACATAGTCGACACATCGGAAAAGTTGGTCGATGTAACGCTGGAAAGTTTTGCGTGCATTTTTGAGTCCAAATGGCATGTATACAAACTTTATCAAACAAAACGGAGTGCATACTTCAATTTTTTCGATGTTTTGTGGTGCCATCGGTAGTTGATGGTATGCGCATTCTAAGTCTGAAGTTTTGAAAATGTATAACCGGTCTGCGAAGTCGTGTATGTGCGGTATCGGATAACGATCAGAAGTTGTTATCGCTTTTAGCTTTCTGTAATCGCCACAAGCTCGCCAACCACCACTAGTCTTTGCTACCATATGCACCGGATTTGCCCATGGACTTTTGGAATAGCGACAGATTCCTTCGTCGATCAGTTGATGGATTTGTGCTTTCGCAGATGCCAGTTTCTCACCCATCAGTCGCCGTGGACGATCTGCTACGGTACTTCAGCTGTGATGATGTAGTGGCGAACTGCATGTGATGGACGTTTTTCGCGTAAGTTGTTGGCCGTGTTGACCGAATCGGTATGTTTTGCGTGAGGGCTACTACTGTGTGGTTTCTGGCAATATTTGCAGCTTCGAAACGCTGCGAGTTGATTGAACTGCCGAAAATTTGGTGCGCCTGTTGATTGTCATTCTGCAAGGCACAACTGACACAACAGATCCAAAAACAACGGGGAAGATATGACGAGTAAGCAGATCCTTAACTTGTCGACGGTAGTATTGGTTCCCCGTCTCATGTGCTGAATGCTTCCTGGTCATAGAAGTTCTGTTACCTTGCAGCAGAATAAACGGCAGCCGTTATAGTTTGACACGTATTTGAAACGTATTTTGTTCACAAATACATAGAGTGCGTATAACGACTTCGCAGCCATTAGCGGGTGCTTAACGACTCATGTGTGTAAGAATTTTGCAGGAGTCTCCAAAGTTTTGAGACATCTGAGAGAAAAGTATTCTTGGTAAGACTGTCGAGTAGAGATGATGGCAAAAAGTGCAGTCAAATACGGGGAACTGTCAAGCAAACGATTTCGTAGCGCGAGATACATTTGGTGCTAGTTGAAGAGGGTTCAGGGTATTCCCTATTCGGAAGTTTCTTACATGATTTTTATGGTACAATTTGGTTAGCTCGTAGGCAGTTATATACAAGTCGTTATCATCTTTACCTGTGAGAAAAATTTAATTTCTTGTCTTTTGTTTGGTCCAAATTCTCAAATTGCTCTTTCAGTTAAAATCGTGTCAGCAAACTCTTGCTACTTTGGACTCAACAAATGAACCGGTGCACTAATTTGCAGAGCCATACGTGAACAAGATTGTTTTTGATAATATCAAATTTCAGAACTTGACATAAATTTCATCAGATTGGGATACCATTGCTGTAGTTCGAAGTAGTGGCTAGTAAATTGGAGAGTATCGCCATCCACATGCGAACATCCTCACGAAATTTCCCGTCTAAAAATGAAAAGGAAAAATACTGTCATCTGCTCGAGAACATTACTTAACCCATGACTTTTGTAAATGAGTTTAAATATGCTAGATATGGAATGTTTGCTGAAATGAGAATGAAATATATCTTATACGACGCGCAAATATTGCAGTTATTTAAATACAGCGAGGAAAATAATACCAATTTTTTAGAGTTTATCTCGAATCCGAGAAGAGCCAATGATACACCTTGCAGGTACTTGCAATAAAAAAACATGATTAAAGAACTAACGTTCAACAAAAACGAAATAGTCCGTCTGATCTAAGCTTTGACCCAACAGAAAGCTACTTGCTCTTGGGTGATCTTGATTGAAAGAGACTGAGAACATTGCATTCCTCAGAGGCGTGCACTTGTTGGAAGCCTCTTATTAGATTATTTATTTTATGATACTGTGGCTGGTGGCATACGAAGGAGCAATAATCGATAAATGTATGCGAACATGCATTTCAGATTTCCAAAAGCTTTTAAAGCTGGTGAATAGCTCTTTAGAGCTTACATTGGTTCAAGCCAATCCTAACTGTTTGATAGCAGAAAAGCCGAATATTGACCGTTCTCAAGGCGCGATTAGTTCTTTTAAAAGAGGTGCTTCGTCAGTGTAATTATTCTTAATTTCCAAAAAACTCTTCATGATTTCGTGAAGCGAAGTGCTATTAGCTTTGACAATGGTTGACGAGTTTGCTAGCCCTCCAGCAAATTTCCAACCAAATTTTGTGCTCTGAGGGTTTGGCAAATAGTCAGAATGTTTCATTTTTTCTTTATCAATGAGGATGCGCAGTATTTGTAGGCAGGACATGTAAAGTTGCCGATGGAGGGTATGATTTTGATGTTAAGCATGGACTTAATATAGACTCGGAACAACTAACTATGAACAACTAACTCAGCTGATGGTGATAGTGCTAGTGAGATAGGTTTACTAATTATCTGATATGCTGTTACTGTTATCTAGCAAACTTTTAGCAGGTAGGGGGTTCACAGTTTAACAACAGTTTTGATTTAAATTAGCTTAGTTTAGATATTTAGAGGAAGTAGATTGGTATATATACTAATACATGTGTATTTTGTTTAGTCTAGTCTAGGTTTAGTTTGTTTGGCTGAGGATCCGCTTTTGTCAGCAAGCCTTCGCCTTCTTAGAGGGTTCCTTGCCAGGACGTTAGGTTGATTGTGATGCTTAGATAAGTAGCTCGATGCTTGTCTGTTGACAGCGTCGCCTATTATTAGTACCCTAACGTCTTTTGCCATTTCCCTTATGCGAATATACTATGCGGCTCCAGTAATTTTCCGCAATGTCTTAGGTGAATGATGCGAACTTTGTTCAGATGTGTTTTTACGGATATACCATAGACTTGGAGCCCATATCATCACGCAGGGGCAAGGATTACCTTACGTTGACGTTAGGAAGCCTTTTCTTTCCTCAATGCAGAGGTCCATATACAAGCTCCGTTTTCAAAGCGCTTAAGGTACTCCTGCAAGACGTAAGTTTCTTAATACATACATTTATTCTTGGCAAGGATTATCGTGTCATCAGCCAACGTGGCCATTAGAAGGTCCTGCCGGCTAATCAGTTTGATTTAGATTGCCGTGGGCATGTCATATGCAAAAAGGCTGCATAGCGTTAACATCACAATGATGTTAAAAATGCCGAAATATAATTAAAGATTGTGCGGCTTGTAATCAAGCATAGATCGATCACAGGAACACATAATATTAATTTAAAATCACACCAGAAGTAGAAAAAAGCAGATGTAAAAAACAGAACTATTTCACATGGATTGACTTATATTCAAAATTTGCAAATGTAATTGAACTAAATGGTAAAGATTGTATTTATTACTGATGATGACAAAGAAAGGAAACTTAAAACTAACTCTATTGACAGGACCCCAGCTGAAATTTTCATTTACACAGGCACACCTGACTATAATATACAAAACATAAAATAAACAAGAAAAAGTCTCAATAAAACTCGTAAAGATTTTGAAAAAAATTTCGGAAAGACTAAAAGCGGTCGAAAAGTTACGCATTATAAAATAAATGATCAATAACAAAAAAAAGTTAAATAATATGTTCGCACCAAATACAATTGCATAGATACTCTGCCATTTTCAACATTCGAGCTTTACCACCACCCCTTGACTCTGCACAGGATCAACCAACGACATCACATGCTATGCATGCGAATGTGTCTGATAGTGTAATCCTAGCTACAGCAGTCGTTAGCATTAAAACGAAAAGTGGAGAGTTTGTTTTGACTCGATTCTGGATCAGAAATGAATTTTGTAACAGACGAGCTAGCACAACAATTGCAGCTGCGAAGAGAAGAGGCTAGTATCAGCTTACTTGGGACTTTTCAATGCAACACTTAAATAAAAAAGAAGATTCATACAGTGGTGAAGTAGCGATTCACTTTCAGCGAGATCTCGTTAGATCTGTGGATCTTGAAGACCATTTCTGGTTACCAGCCTGACCATACGGAATTTCGGATTATGCGTATTACAGAATTCGGCAACGATCACGTCGGTGCCCAGATGTTCATCGAGTGGGGAATCGGATTAAAGTTGGGATCAAAAACGGTCGGGTTGTAAGCAAACGGGTTGTACATTTCCGTCCACCAAACAACATTTGGAATAAAAATCTGTTAAATTCGAAACACGCATTTAAACACATTTAGTAATTTTAGAACAAAGAGCATTTAACATATAAACGTATATACATAAATATACAAAAAAAGAATGTACAAAATTTTATAAAATTTATTGCGCTGACATAAAAAATTTAAACCTTAAATACACAATTAAAACTAGATGAAAAACAACTCAAGGAACACCATTAAATAAGGAACAAATTGACACAATAAGTGGTTCCGTCAGCGAAGCAATCCACGCTGTGGATTCCAGGTTGTCTATGAACCACAATGGCCTGCAGATCTCCAACAGGGCTAGAAGACTCCGGTTCAGAGCGCAAGTCGGCCGATCTCCGGCTTCTTGCTTGGAAAAAAATAATAATGGCTTCATGTGGGGAATTACTAATTAGCTTCTTGTAATAAGTAAAAAAGTGTACATTTTAAATAATAATTAAAATGCAAATGTAACAAATATAACAGAAATTTAAAGTTAATTTAAGTAGTGTAAAGATTGTAATAAATACTTAAATATCAGATTGAAGCGATGTATGTATCGATAGAATACATACATTTCCAGCATCGATAAAAAGGAGAAAAGACGGCACTAATGTTTGAGCGGTTGAACTGAGTGGACATAAAAAAGTTGTAAAATAAAGATATACGAAGAAAATAAGTAAAGAGTGCGGACTTTACAAATCAGGTGTGGGGTTTGCCCAGATCTTTCGCTGAGTATTCGAGCAATGCAATATAGAGAAATCATTTGTAAAACCAAATCAGAACTAAGTACTATATTAAAAAGTTTTGGCGTGCACATTAGTGAAAGTACGTCAATCCAACAATTGCGTGCTGCAGTAAATCAAATTGTAAATATGGAAAAGGATGACAATTTGATCGATGCGGAGGTTCCAAACCAACGTGTTGAGAGTGTGGCCTTGTTACCAGATTTCGAGATAAGAAACATAATGGCAGAACAACCGTTATGTACAGCACAAAACTCGAACGACGCAATGCAGACCAATTATGCGAGATAACGGAAAATTGTGTGACCGAAATGCAAGATTTGGACCGTTTGGAAAAACTTTTTTCCGCTAGAACCGAGTTGCCGAACTGCAGGTGGCAGTACTGAAAATGGAAATCGCCGCAACTCGCACTGTGCCAGTGCAAAAAGATGCTTTGAGTATCAAAGATGTTGAAGCTTTGGTACGTCCTTTCTCTGGGGACGATAAATACCCTGTGTCAATGTGAACTCGTGATTTCGAGGATATGATGGACCTCTACAATGTAAACTTGATGAAGCGATTTATTTATGCTAAACATCTGCTGGCTGGATCTGCCCAATAATATATGCACAATACTGGAATCTTAACTTAAAAGGACATGAAAGAGGAGGTAATCCATACCTTTAGGCGTAGGGTGACAGCTTGGGACATTGGTAAGCAGATGGAGTCAAGAAAAATAAAAAAAGGAGAAGCACTCTTCAGTATTTCGTTGCGATGTGCAGCATGGCTATGCTAGCTGATTTGGCGACGAGTGACGTCATTCAGTACATTGTCAACGGGCTGCAAGATAAAACAGGCGCTGCTGCATCTATGAGATATTGTACATCGCTGGATGAATTGCGTGAAAAGGTCCTCATTTACGAACAGTTTCGTGAAGTGCCAGCAGTTGCTGTTGCTCGTGCTGAAGGTAGCGGAAATCCTAAGCCGAGGACATCTTTGGTTCAACAAGAAATAAGGTGCTTTAACTGCCGTCAGTTGGGGCATTGGATATCTGATTGTAAGCAGCCAATAAGACCCGAGGGAGCATGCTTCCAATGTTGGAGCACCGAGCATCAGTATCGTCAGTGCCCGCGGCAGGGAGTTAATGGCTGCACCGTGATGCCGCAAGAGGAATCCAAATCTGGAGAAAAATTAGAAGAGCGTAGCGCCTGGTGATCAGAGATAAAAATTCGTGCTTTTATTGATACCGGTAGTCCAGTAAGTTTCATTGATGAATCATTAGTTTCAAAATCTTTAGTATTTAGACCATGCTTTGAAAAATATTATGGATTAGGAGGAAAAATTATCCCCATTAAAGGCCAAATTGAAGGCTTTATTAATTATGTCAAGAATTTGATTTTATTTTATGTGGTAACATCCAAAGAATTACCCAGCAAAGTGCTATTAGGCCGAGATTTATTGACAAACATGAATATTAAATTAGTTTATCAAAATAAAATGAAAAGCACGAATGATAATAATCAATCTTTGTTCTCCAATACTATTGATAATAGGAAAATAATTAATCTACCGACTAACCAAATAAGTTCAGACACCAGTCCATTGCAGCCGATGTGTCACAATGATAGTCAAACATGCGACCAAAGCGACAACTTTATTGAATTTTGCGCAAATATTGATATTGAAGCAAATGAAGGGTATAATGTCGTGTCAGGTATTGGTAAGCAGGCAACTGACGAATGTACTGTACTAATAAGATCCGGATATTTAAGTAGCAAAAGTGACAATACCATACGTCAGAGATAGCAGACGACTATTAGATTAACTGGTACAAGCAAAATCTGTGCAGTACCCGTCCTTTGCAACCCCACAAGGTCATTAGGAATGCCATTTGGCCTTAGAAACGGACCAGCTATTTTTGAGAGGTCTACTTTTGATGTATTTAGGGATCTTATTAGAGCTCAAAAATTGTAGCATATATGGATGATATTGTAGTGGCGACAAAAACTGTCGAGGAGCATCTAGATATTTTAAGTGAACTGATGGATCGAATTAGTGAATATAATCTAGAAATTAACCTAAAGAAGTGTATATTTTTAGAAAATGAATGTGAATTCTTGGGATATAGAATTAATTAAAACGGCATAGCACCAAAATAATCACATTTGGAGGCGTTAAGAAAGTATCCTATACCTATAATCTTAATAGTTTGCACTCATGCTTGGGTTTTCTTTCGAAATTCTGTCGTTTTGTGTTCTCATTTGCTATAATAGCTAGACCCCAGACAGAACTATTGAAGAAGGGCGGTTCTTTCCCTCTTAACAAAGAGCAACTAGAGGCATTTAACGCGCTTAAATCAGCATTGGTTAATCATCCGGTACTGGCTATATTCAATCCCAATAGAGAAACTGAACTGCACACTGACGCAAGTGCACACGGTTTCGGTGCTGTATTAATAAGACCCTTTAAGATAGTCACTGATTGCAATTCTTTAGAGCAAACCCTTAGTCGAAAAGCTTTAAATCCAAAGATAGCTCGTTGGTCTCTGGAATTGGAAAATTATGACCGGGAGTAACATGTCGCACGTGGACGCATTGAGTAGACAAGCTGATTAAGTAAATGATGAGTATAGTAACGTATATAGAGATAACCGTAGTGATAGCCATACTGAAGAATGTATTGATGAGCATAAAATTAACCGTACGGAGCAGCATAGAGATAACCGTAGTGATGAGCATAGAGTTAACTGTAGAGATCAGCATAAAGATAACCATAGAAATGAGTACATAGACAAATGTAGTGATGATCATAGTGATAACTTGAGTAATGTCCCTAACAATAATCATATGAACGATAGTAAAAAGCCATGGGGAGAGGCAGGGAGAAGTTCAAGTTGTAGAGCAAAAAGTAAGTAGCAACAATATTGAAGAAATTGAGTTTTTAGAGGAGTCAGTACTGCAGGCTTTGCCAATTGTTAGTGTGGTAGGCATGACGAAAAAAGATATTGATTTAATATTGCAAACTGAGCAGGTGAGAGATCCCAGACGTAGTAAGAGCCGGTGAGTTGTTAGAAAATGCTGAAGTTCTTTGGTTCGAATTAGTAGATGGTGTTGTGTACAAAATAGATGAAAAAGATAACTTGCGATTGTATGCTCCCTCCTGTATGGAAGATCAATTAATTCGAGTAGCACAGGATAAATTGGGACATTTAGCAGCAGACAAGTGTGTTAATAATCTGAATAAGTCGTATTGGTTCCCCTCTATGCGCATTAAAGTAGAAAACTTTATTATTGCTTGCAGTGTATATTGCATTCGGTTCCGAAGACTATTCACAACAGGACGCTGCATAGTACACCCACACCTTGTGTACCGTTTCATACCCTACATATCGATCACCTAAGGCCCTTACCGGGCATAAACTCTAAAAAAAAAAACTTGTTAGTGATAGTGGACGCATATACAAAGTTTGTCAAACTCTTTCCGGTGAATAAAACAAGTACACGAGAGGCCAGAGACTCATGGACGAAATATTTCGTATTCTATAGTCGCCATAAAACAATAATATCATAAAACAATAATATGTGCTTTACTTCTTTAGAGTTTAGTACATTTTTGACAGAACGGGACATAGAGCATATTATGTTGGCAACGGGCGCGCCACAGGCCAATGGTCAAGTGGAGCAAGTGAATCGTGTATTAACTCCAATGCTTGAAACATTGTCGGAACCGCTGCTTCAGTCGGTTTACTGTATAGAGTAGAATATGCCATTAACAACGCCGTCCACAGTAGTACGCGGAAAACGCCTAGTATGCTACTATTTGGAGTCGACCAAAAAGGACCCATTGTAGATGAGCTTGCCGAATATTTCGAGACTAAGATCAATAGCATAGAGCAGCGAGAGTTGGGGTCTATCAGAAAGATGGCAGTTGAAAATATTGCTCAATCACCATTGAGAAATGAGGACATGTATAGAAAAATACATAGAGCTCATTTGAAGTATGGAGTAGGTGATTATGTTGCAATTGGAAATGTGGATATAACGCCTGGTATCAATAAAAAATTTTCTCCGAAATATCGTTGTCCATATAAGATCAGTCACGTGTTTGAAAATGATCGTTCGAAGTAGTGGACATTGACAACTGTCAAATGACTCAATTACCATATTGGAGTGTCTTAGATCCTGCACGGCTTAAGCCATGGGCTAGTAGTGTAAATATAGTATTATCCGCTAGTATGTAAATCGAGGTCGATTAATATTGTCAGAAGAATGTAAAGATTATAATAAATGCTTAAGTATTAGATTTAAGCGATGTATGTATCGATAGAATAAGGGAATTTATCGATGTTGGAAATAAAACAACATCGATAAAAAGGAGAAAAGATGGCACTCATGTTTGAGCGGTTGAACTGAGTGGACAAACGAAAAGTTGTAAAATAAAGATATACGAAAAAGTAGTCTATTTTATTTCGTGTTCTTTTAATTTGTAATCACTTTCAAACTAAATCTTTAAAATTTTTCTTTTCATTCCATTTTTTGTGTACCACTTACGAACCTACCATCATCTCCAAAGGCGCTCTCGTTGATATAAGGCGACGAATTGCTGTAACAAAAAGATTTGTACAAAAGGGCAAAAGAAGAAAAATATATAAAAAAAACACTTGTCATATTTGGCTGAGCTATGTTTTTTCTGGCTATAGTAACTCTCCATTTTTTTTTTTACAATTTAAAAATTTGCTCTCACGACCAACATGGCGATCATCGCAACGGAGAAAAAGAAAAAAAAAGATCATGAGAAAAAAAAAAGGAATTGACCGAATGAAAATATAATTCTTTTTTTCATAAGATAATACAAATTAGAATTAAAGACAATGTTAAACGTTTTTGGTGTGATGCGCCTAATCTATTTCAATTACGCCATATGCAGCTTCACCATCGACGTTAACTGCTAAGATGCTAAGAGTAACACTTATTCGGCGACAATGCAGCGACGATAGTCTCCCCCATATGCTCCACTACAGACCGCGAATTCACTTAATTGCTGGGACCACATTAATTCATCTCCAGAAGGAACATCTGATTGGGGCATTGTAAGCATTTTATTCAATTTAGTCTGCACTACTTTCTCCTGGTGCTTAACTTAGCCTGGTACTAAGTTTTAGTCTAGTGCTAATTTTTCATCAGGTATCAAGTTCTGAACTCGTACTATATGTTGAGCTCGTGCTTAGTGCCAATCCTGTAATTACACAGGAAATTAAATCTTTCTGACTCAAAAAAAGAAAAAGGGAAAAAAAAACCCTGGCCAACTTACCGCTCTTTGGGTTTGGCACTTCTCATTATGGCCCAGAAAAATGTGTATGGACGGCGCGATTTAACGTGTAGACATTTGTAACAGGATCATTTTTTTTTTTTTTGTCGAGACCACAACTCTCTCTTCTTTGTCGAACAGAATACAAAAAGGGTACTAGTAGCAAGGTTCGGCCAAACGAAACCCATTAGCATGGGATAGTGGAACATTCGCCATTTCCAATTACTTAACAAAATATGCAAAGCAGTCTCCACATTGCCTTCCTAACTTGCACCGCCGATCGTGACTCATAAATGGCGCTATCTACATCCACGTTTGGCCTTTTAGCCAATTATATTCTTATTGTTAGTTTCATTTGTGAAAACGAATATAATAGTGAAATAGTTTTTATTATCTTCTCTTGTTGCTGTTCCCTCTGATTGGCATCTTTTTTCTTCCAACCCTGAATGGCAGCTTAGAGGTAGGCCCGATATATATTGGCCGATAGATCGTGGCTAGGGCTGCCACAGGGCTCCCCCCTAGACAAGTCATAGATTGTAAGGGCGAGTCCTATGCTGCTTTTCATACGTGCTAAGTGATGGAACTTTGATTAGTGAACCTCCGTCATCTTTGGAATCAGCTGCGTCATTCGTGGGGACGGCTTCGTCAGCCTCTTCAATTGCCATAAATGCAGCTTTTAATCTGTCGATCAACAATGCTGTTTCTTTGTCATTAATCCGCGCGACGAGGAGCCGATCTGATGGCTTGGATATCACTTCATACTTCATGCTTTATCGCGTCAGTCCTGACGAATACATGAAAGCATTCATGTGTGGCTTTGTGCAGAAAGAGTTTCGAGTGGCTATGATGTGAAGCTGGCGTCGGTCTTACCACCTGCATGTTGGTACGAAACTGACTGACAAACTGGCATGGATTCGAGGGTACGTCCAGGTCGTAGAAATATTCGTTGAGAAGGCGAGGTGTGCACCCGTACAACATTTCAGGTCAAGCATTACAGATGGAAGTAGTTTGGTCCACGGAGTCTGCGGGTTGCACATTAAAGCGGCTATCATAGACCTATGCCAACGCTCGACCATGCAGTTTGCCTAAGAGTGGTTTGGTGTCGTGTGTCACTTCCCAATAAATTAGCCAGTGATTTGAAGAGTGCAGACTCGAATTGGGCCCCTTGATCGGTGGTGATTATCAAGGGACACCCAAACCGTGATATCCAGCATGACCAAATTGCATCGCAGACCGTCTGCGCTGTCATATCCTGCAGAGGTACTGCCTCCGGTAAATCTGCGTCAGGCAATACCTGTATCCACGTACGAAAGGCATCACGACAATGTCGAGGAGTATATGGTCAAATTTACGGTCAGGGACAGTGGTTTTGGTAGGTACCATCGAGCTGTGTTTATGTATTTTTGTCCTCTGACATGGCAAGCAATTTCGTGACCATGCCAAGATGTCCTTACGCATCGACGGTCAAACATATTTAGCACAAATTTGTTTGATTGTAGGCCTGCCACTAGGATAAGAGAGTCGGGGAACTTTTGAAAATATGTTGTATCCCAATAGACGTGAAATATATGGTCTAGGAGTTGCTTTCGATAAGTCGCAGTAGAGAAAAGTTTGCTTGTTGACTTGCATTGACTGTCGTTATAACGATGTCTCCCCATTTAAAATACTTATCAGTTCGCTGTCGTATGTGCTATACCTGCCTTCCGTTACGCTAAGTTTTTTCGAAAAGAAACCTAGGGGCTCTCTTAGGCTGCATTTGCCGTTTTCCGTCACCTCGGACACCTCATAATCGGATTAATTTTTGGACTGTTGATATAAGGCGTTAACAATGCGTTATTTAGGGCGCTGTATGACTTGAGGTTTAGCATCTCACTGCATATGACTTCCCGAGTGGTGTCGCAGTTGGGCTATTGTGCTAACAGACTCATACAAGATTTCGTGTTGAATTTCTGGAAGAAGATTTGCTCTTAACGTTTCTAATAGCGCTCAGACATGGGGTGTGCGAGTTTATCTGCTAAGGCTACAACCGCTCCATAAAACTCACCAAAAGATACAATCGAGCGTAGCTTTCGTAGTTCTATTTCGGAGCAAATATTTGGATAAGTGCGCGTATCATTAAACTGTCCTTTAAGTGCTTCACACAGTTCATGCCAACGAATGAGTGGCACACTTTTATGGTATCGCCAAAACCATTCAGCGGCATTACCTTCAAATAAATTGCTGGCATACCGAGCTACTAATTCGAAATTTCCATTCCGGGTTTCTAAAGTCAATGCTTGTACTCTATAAATAAAATCATCAACGTGAACTGATCCACTGAATTTACCACTGAACCGCAATTTCCAGTTTGCCATTATTTGGCTTATACGATCGGCAAATCGAAATATGTTGAAATCTGGATCGAGGTTTGTTAAGACCCACTCGCTTGAGCAGAGGCTGTATGTATCTGTCAGCTAGACAAAAGTTGTTGCAAGTTTTGCAGCTCAATGAGTGCCATCTTTCTTCGGTTGGAGCTACAGACCAGATTGTAACCGTGAAGTAATTGCTTGAGCTACCTCCTCGTTAAGTTGTGCCATGGCTGATGCTAAAGTCTGCTTTGCCATCTCAGCGGATATTGTCCCCGCCATCACTGTTTGCATTACATCAATGGTTTCTCTGTTGCCCACATTAGGGGCGGACGTGTTTAAAAGCTCGGAATTCATTGGAGCATCAGCCATGTTGGATCTATCCATTTCTTTTGACTGCGATCTAGTTTAAAGGGATCGAAATTGACGAAATTGACGGACGTTCAGAATTTAAATTTGATACAGATTGGGAACTTGCAATTTGTAAAGCTTGTTCACACACCGGACAATTGTTTCTTTATGCACTTAAAACAATCTTTGTGAAAGGCATGACCACAACTGGTCATTAATATCTGACCTAAAATGACTTGCGAACACAAACAGCAAGGTGTGACAGCGTCTTCACGGTTAGTTTAAATTTCAGGTCTTGTAGAGCCGGCCATTTCTCTCCAACAATTTATAAACTTAATCAATTAATAATTAATAAATGGTTTTCTTTACGATACAGATCTGAATCAAAACTCAAAAAAAACAAAAATTGATGTATACGAAATTAGGATTAGGATTAGGAGGAAAAATTATCCCCATTAAAGGCCAAATTGAAGGCTTTATTAATTTTGTCAAGAATTTGATTTTATTTTATGTGGTAACATCCAAAGCATTACCCAGCAAAGTGCTATTAGGCCGAGATTTATTGACAAACATGAATATTAAATTAGTTTATCAAAATAAAATGAAAAGCACGAATGATAATAATCAATCTTTGTTCTCCAATACTATTGATAATAGGAAAATAATTAATCTACCGACTAACCAAATAAGTTCAGACACCAGTCCATTGCAGCCGATGTGTCACAATGATAGTCAAACATGCGACCAAAGCGACAACTTTATTGAATTTTGCGCAAATATTGATATTGAAGAAAATGAAGGGTATAATGTCGTGTCAGGTATTGGTAAGCAGGCAACTGACGAATGTACTGTACTAATAAGATCCGGATATTTAAGTAGCAAAAGTGACAATACCATACGTCAGAGATAGCAGACGACTATTAGATTAACTGGTACAAGCAAAATCTGTGCAGTACCCGTCCTTTGCAACCCCACAAGGTCATTAGGAATGCCATTTGGCCTTAGAAACGGACCAGCTATTTTTGAGAGGTCTACTTTTGATGTATTTAGGGATCTTATTAGAGCTCAAAAATTGTAGCATATATGGATGATATTGTAGTGGCGACAAAAACTGTCGAGGAGCATCTAGATATTTTAAGTGAACTGATGGATCGAATTAGTGAATATAATCTAGAAATTAACCTAAAGAAGTGTATATTTTTAGAAAATGAATGTGAATTCTTGGGATATAGAATTAATTAAAACGGCATAGCACCAAAATAATCACATTTGGAGGCGTTAAGAAA